AGCTCTGATAACAGGCAATCTTGCTGCAGACTATTGCATCCTTTGTGATGGACGGGCTATCGCTGCTGTAACTACTGTGTAGATAGCGGAGTGACAATGCGTGTCCAGTGAAACACAGGTGGTATAATATTCATGTCAAGTCCACGAGGCCAAGAAACTTCCCTGTGTTTGGATATTGAACAGCTAACAGGGCTTGAAAAGGCTTTTATTTTTTGCAATCTGATGGAAGGCTCATGGTGTCCTGGCGATGCTGGGAGTAACGGCCGAGTTGCCAGCACCACGGGCTGCAGGGGTGAAGAGCACACAGGTATTTACGAATATATCATAAATGCTGCCCAGGCTTGGCAAGTCAGCTTTCGTCAGAAATTGCCTCGCTGCTGGGTTTGCTTAAAATTGTGAAATGAATGCTAAATTGAAGTTTCTACTTTTGGAAGAGACCTTTTGAAAATGAAACAGGCTTATCTTCAGTCTAGGCTAAAATCCAAAAAATTGCCTATATCTCACAACTCCCCAGAAATGTTCTCTGTGATCCTTTTAAACATCCCATGCAAAAATGTGTGCGCAAGGGAAAAAATTTGGAGAAAGGTTGACCCTGCGGGTGTTTTCCTCTGCTTCCCTAATACGATGTAGCCTTTGGGAACCATAGCAGTGGGGTGCTGGTGGCACCTACATTGGGTCTGGGTGATAGAACCTCCTTTCCTGAGCTACTTTGGGGGAAGTCTGCCGCAGGGGATGCATGGGAGGAGTGTGCAATACTGTAAATCGTCCTCTCCCAGGGGTGACTGTCCCTCTGAACAGAACTCAGATGGCTTTGCATAACCAGAGTCCTGTCTCCTGATGCTGCTGTGCTGGGTTACTGCTTTTAGTCCTAAAAGTAGCATTTGTTGCAATTTTAATTAGGCAAGGAGATGCTTTTTAGTACAAACCTTTGAAGTATTGCTGGGAAGATGACTGCAATTAAGCAGCCCTGATATTCCTCTTGTTTTGTTTTTACTTTTACCACTGTGAGAAACCTTCTGCTTTAGCCTCCTCGGAGGTGAGAGGCACAAAGCTTGTTTCATTAGGTTCTCAGGTCGGGTGCAGGCTGCTGTCATGCAGCGTGAGCCACAGGGCTGGCTTGATTTACGGGGTAAAGAGTGCAGGAACACCTCTTGCTGCTGATTTGCTCCAGCAAACAGCTATTTCTGTTAAAGGAGAAGAGGGATTATTAGGAGTGATCTCATTGCAATGACAGATGTATGACAAGGGAGTTTGTGTGTCCCCTCCAAAGTGCAAGCACAGGCTGGGGATGGATCCCATGTGTGGTCAGCAGCAGTTTGGTTTTTCTCCTTTGGGTGCTCAGATGTGCACAGAGGTGTGGGACAATGCTCGGTGCTGTGCTGGGGTGGCAGTGATGATGATGATGGTCACAGCCCTGTGATTAGGTTCAGGAGGCAGTTCAGTGGGCTCAGGTGTGTCAGTGGGTAATTAGGGAGGTGCTGAATCAGGGAGTTGGCAGTAACGAGGTGAACTTGTCCCTACCCTCAGCTGGGCTGTGCAGCGAGGGGAGTCCTGCAGGACCAGGGGTGTGATGGGGACCTCTCTGGGAGCAGGGAGTGGTCAGCTCTGTCTTAATCCACAATGGAAAGCCATGAGCTTGCTGCTGGGAAATGTCTTGATTTCAGGGGTAAGAAAAATTTTTCCTGAAGGATCAAGAGTTTTATGTGTGTCTTTTTTTTTCCCCTGGGTTGAGACTTGGGTCTGTAGAAGTGGAAGCACCTGGTCTTGTAGCCTGTGTGGCTGCTCATGAGCCAGCACCCAAGTGTCTTGAAGCGTCATGTCCTGGAAGGTGTGGATAACCCCTTGGGACAGCCTCAGCCGAGCTTGTTCCTTCCTTTGTCTCCCCCAGGAGCTGGAACTGGATGTGCTTTTCCCCAGCTGGGTTCAGGAAAATGCAAAGCAAAATGCCACCGCTGTTCCCTGGCCGCTTTGCCTGCAGGGGAACCAGCCCTGTGCTCCCTGCTGACCCTCTCGTGGGTGATGCACTGCGGACGAGGTGCGGGGAGGATCTTGTCTCCATTCCCACCGTGGTGCCAGGGGAACTGTGCTGTCAGCCTTTCCGGAGCAGACGCACCAAACAGACTGCAGGTCTCTGTCTGTGATAGCCGTTTGCTGTCCCCAAACAGGAGGAAATTGAATTTGGGTCTCCCACAAAGCGAGTGATTGCTGAAGCTGTGGGCCCGGTGATGAAGAGGACCTGACTCGCTTCCCATTGCTTGTATTGCAAATGGGGAAAAAACCAAAACAAAACAGAAAACCAAATGAAAAAGGAGGTGGTGGAAGGAGAAATATTTTGGCTTATTTTGTGCTAGTATTTTTTTTAATTTTTTTTTTTTTGGTTTTGATTCGTCTGCCAAACTACCAAATCTGTTCTTTGCAGAGATCCATTTCAAATTCAACGGGCAGCCACAGCTTCTCTGGGCAACCTGGTACAGTGCCGCGCCACCTTCATTTGAAAAAATTTCTTCCGTGTAGCTGCTTTAAAACTCCCCTTTTTCAGTTTGAAGCCATTGCCCTGTGTCCTGTCACTCCACACCCTTGTCCAAAGCCCCTCTCCAGCTTTCTTGTAGCTCCTTTAGGTACTGGAAGGCTGCTAGAAGGTCTCCCCTGGAGCCTTTTCTTCTCCAGGCTGAACAGCCCCAACTCATAGATTTCATAGATTTCTAGGTTGGAAAAGACCTTGGAGATCATCGAGTCCAACTGTCCCTAATCCCCATTAAACCATATCCCTAAGTAGATCATCCACCCTATTCTTAAACACACCCAGGGATGAGGACTCAACCACCTCCCTGGGCAGCCTAAAACTCTCTCAGCCTGGCTCCATAGCAGAGGTGCTCCAGACCCCGGATCACCTTTGTGGCCTTCTCTGGACCCGCTCCAACAGGTCCATGTCCAGAACTGAACACAGTACTGCAGGGGGTTGGATCTCAATACTAGAATACTGGAAGCAATACTAGGGATGAGACTCAGAAGTCCTAATATTCAGGACTGCTCAGAATACCACCTTTTAGCACTGTGGAGAAATCTGTTGCTCAGTTGCATGTTTTGTTCCTGCAGAGATGTCGGGGACTGTGGCTGACATTTCGCTGGTGCACTGGAAGCAGCAGTGGCTGGAGAATGGCACCCTCTACTTCCACGTCTCCATGAGCAGCGCTGAGCAGCTCTCCCGAGCCACCCCCCCCAGCCTCCAGGAGCCTTCGGAGATAGTGGAGGAGCAGATGCACATTCTTCATATCTCGGTCATGGTGAGTGGAAGCTGCCAATGGCATCTGAGGGGACAAAAGACAGTGTGGGAGGGGACAGCGGCTGGCGACCAGATCGGTGGGAGGGTGACGATTAGGAGCAGGCTGGTTTGCAGTTGTCCATGTTCCTTCTTGGTCAGGCCTCCAGAGAGGATCAGATGTGTTTGAGTGGTCCAGGGAGAAAAAAACAACAGTGACCGGTCTTTTAAGAAAATGAAATAAAATGACGTATCATAGGGAAGAAGCTGTTGGGATGGTGACAAGGAGGCTCATGGTTCCTCCTGCCTCTGCGGGCAGCTGGCGAGGTGTGTTAGTGGAGTGTTTCTCCTTGGTCTTGTGTTTGAGCATGTGCCAAGGTGAGATTTTGGGCTTGGTCATTTCTTCTTGAAGGTTTCTGAAACTGAATTTTGCCTATGAAACAGTATGGGCTATGGTGTGATACCCTTCTCTTGCAAAGGACAAGCCAGACCTAAAAGTGAAAAGATGATCCAGATGCTATGAATATCTCCATCTCGGGTATTTATGTGACCTTTTCTTAACGTATTGTGTATGTGCTCTGTTGCCTTTAAAAATGCTTATTTCAGTATCTTACGAGGTGGTTGCCTACATATTTGGATCTGGTCCATCATCCCTCCGTGCTTTAGAGCTCCATCTGTAAAATGGGACTTAACTCCCATTGAGACAGACGATCCTGGCAATGAAAGAAAAAGAAAAAAAGAAGTTAGGCTTGTAGATCCTGTGTATATGCATGTCACCTATTTGCCCAAAGAAAATCTTTTATAGGGTTGGGGATCCCATTACAGCAACCCTCTGCAAAAGGTGCATCTGTTCCTATCTTGAGAGCTGTGTGTGATCTACGTGCGTTCTGTTCTTCGTTTTGGAAGAAGGGACAGAGGTGATGGCTGCTCTGAACAAGCAGCTATTTGGCTTTTACAACTTAAATCTTATTTTTTTGAGTGTCTCAGCCCTTGTTGATGAGGCTTTATATTGGGCACTGAGTGCATGTGAACACGGAGAGAGGCTTTGTGTTAAGGCTGTTGGGCAAGATAAGATGCAGTATGACAGCAGGATGGCAGGAGGGAGAGGAATTGGGGACTGCAGCTTACGGGGTTGGGTAACGAACGTTTCTTATGTCCTGCTAAAAATGTCAGTGTGATGGAGTTTTGGTGGGAAAAAAAAAAGTATAACTGGTATACTTGGAAAATGAGCCTGAAAATAGAAGTGAGAGACAGAGCAAGGAGTGAAGACAGCAAATCCCAGGTCTGGGGTGTGAGAAGCTCGATCCCTGGTTTGAATGCGGGATTGCTCGGCTGTCGTGGGCAAACCTGCACCGTGGAGGAGGGCCCCGTGGCTGCGGGGGGACACTGGAGCCTGGTGGCCGGTGCAGCTGTGTGAAACACAGTTTTTCTTCAGTAGGGAGAGATCCAGTCCTGGCCCTCAGACCTTGCTGAAGCTGATCTTTCTGAAAAACAACGCGATGACTGTGATGGATTGATGCTTTAGAGAGAGGAAGTTTCCTTTGAGCAATTCCTGCCCAGAGCCTTCCTCCGCTGTACCTTGCAGCACCAGAGTGGCGATGCTGGTGGGCTGGAGCTGAAGGCATCACCCTGCGTGTCGCAGCAGCAATGTTTTTGGGCTCTAATCCTGGGTGAGCTGCTTTGCTGCATCTCACTGAAGCTGATAGCATGGGAGCATCCCTGGCTTTGCTGCGAGATTTGACTCGTGCCCTGAGCTTCTCCTTCCCTTCTGCAAAAGCAGGAGAGGAACAAATGTTCCTCCTGCACAGAATGAGCTATAATCTCAGTCTCTTTACAAATCCTGGTGCTCCTCTTGACAGGAGCTGAGGTCCCAGGCAGGGCTGTGGGTCCGGGACGAGGTTTGGGCTGCACACGTGTCCCTGGGGAGGCAGAAGCCCTGAGTGTCTCTTCCCTGGGTCGGGATTGCAGCACAGACTTGAAACTTTGCCCAGTTTTCGCTTTTTCTGGAAGATTCATTGACTTTTTAAGTGAACCCGAGCCAAGTTCTGAGCGACTGACAGAAGATAAATGTATGTTTTGTTGGGTTTCCCCCTTGCCTCAAGACCATGTGGAGTTCTGTAGCTAAAGTAAAATGAGGCGAAAGTCGTTTTCTTGGGTGAAATGTTTAATCCAAGTCCCTGGTCTCTGCTCAGGCTGCTTTCTCACGCCTTTGCTTTCCCCCCTGCCCCCAGCTAAATGGCATCCCAGAGAGCCCCCATCACTCCAGCCCTCCTCTCCTCCCCTCCTGTATCTGTATCCCTTCCCCAGCCTTGAGATGCAGCTGGACATCCCTGGATCATCCTTTCCAGTTCCTCAAATACCTTTCTTCCTGCTTCCTGCCGTGAAGCCCGACGGCTCCTGGCTCCTGTGTGCTCTCGATAGACTAAAACACCATTTCTGCTGTGCAGGAGGAATTCCAGCCCACCCCAGTGCTGCCTTGGTGCTCCCTGTTCATCATCCACCTGGCATCTCACTGCGGGGGACGGGAGGAGACATGGGAAAGTGCTTCCGTCCATCACCTTTAAGTGACTGTAACATTTACTTATACCTGTCTCCTCATCCTCCAGCTGAGTTATGGAAGCTGGGGAAGGTTTACTTGGGGGATCTCGCTTGTCCCCCACTCCGGGAGTGCTGTGGCAAAGCTTTGTCGGGCAGCGAGACATCTCTGAGCCGAGTTCCCATCTCTGATGGGAATGTTGGTTTGGATTTCTGTAGATGTTTGATTCGGTCTCTCCTGCTCTGCCTGGAAAGCCGAGCCCTCTGCGCTGTGTGGGGGCTCTGGCCGGGCTGGAAATTCGGGGTTTGCTGCTTCTTCCAGTGGTTTTGGCTGTCGGTGTGTGGCTTTCTGGTTTGGGGTGGGTTTGCTTCCAGTGCTGCAGGAAAGGGGCCACTGGTGGCCATGACCCCCGGTCTCTGGGGCCACCAACTGCCCCTGCAAAAGCCATGGGCTGTGGCTATCGTCACACCTCCCTCCCCCAGCTCAAGGGCATCTTTGACAGCAAACTAATACTTGATTTTTATTGTTTTTTTTTCTCACTATTTTTTCTTAATCTCTCCCCAATGAGACATAACATTAATTACTGCAGTTAAAGGGAATTCAGTCTCCATTACTGTCTGCCACCCCTTTCCTCTTGGCATGAGCATCTGAAATTTGTCTCCCAAATGAAAAGAAGGGAGGAAGGGGAAAAAACAAATATGCAAATGCTAGATTTTATTTATTTACCTTTTTTTTGTGCAGCGTCAAGTAGAAAGGAATCAATATTTTTGTCATTACACCTGTTGTGTTTTTCCCCGTAATCTTAGCTGTCATTTGGGTTTAATTGTGTTGTTTCCTCTTGTGTGGAAGTAAATCTTATCTGTTTGGGATTAAAATTCAATGAAGGTCACAGCAGCTCGGAAACTTACCAGGCTGCAGCAATTAATGTTCATTTGGCTTTGATAAATTGGAATGTTCCCCACAATAGGACTGGAGTGGATTTCAGAAGCAGTAGTTCTTCCATTAACTCAATGATTCCCCATGTGATGGAGCATCTTGTCACCGCTCTGTTTGTCATCTGTCACTTTGAGGGTCTGGGCATATGCCTGATATGATTTATCATGATTATTTGGACTGTTTGTGTCAAAACATTTTAAACCACTAATTATTCTAGCCTTGTAAATTGTTGAATTTAACAAAACATAAGAGATACTTATTTTTTTTGTTGTTGTTCGCCACCGTCTTGTGTCCCTGTTTAATTAGTGCTCTGTATCGTGGTGAATTCAGACCTGAGATCCGTCCAGCAGCGTTCGCTGTAGATGGGGGCTTATTTGCCGGGCTCTGGGGAGGTGGAGGTGTGGGCACAGGTAGCACAGGCACGTTTTACCCGTGCGTTGACCCACCAACAGACCTTTGGTAGGACCATCACACCCAGCAGCTCCTCCCAGCCCTGTGGGTACCTGGGACGTGGGTTGGGAAGAGGATGCAAAGGTGCACCCCATCCCGCTGGCCAAGGGATGGATTTTGCTCCCTTGATCTTGGTGTGAGTGATGCTGGTGAAAGCCCCGGCTGTGGGAGCTCCGAGCCGGGGCCGTGCCCGTGTGGTGTGGGTGTGTGGCCCTGCTGCGCATCGCCTCCGTTCTGGCAGAAATAAGGTGGGTTTTTTTGAGAACGGTAACAAGCAAAAGCCTTGTTTCATCTCATTCCATTGCCCTGCAAGAGAACATTTCAGTGTCTGGAATAAAAGGTGACCAGACCTCATCAGGCTGCTTCGCTTTTATTTTATTATTTTTTATTTTTAATGCCTACTTTCTGCCGGCCGTTACTGGCAGTAGACGAGTTTGCTGCTGGTTTCTAGGTCTCCCAGTGGATTTTTTTGGCTCTTATTTATACCAGTTTCCTTTTTTCTTGTCCTTGTGCATCCTGATGTTTCCCTAGCGATCAGCCATCGGTGCTGTGCTCTGGCCACTTCTGAGATGGGTATAAACTGTGCTCGTAAGCGTTGCGCTCTGATTTAGTGTCCTGCTCTGAAGTGGGGCCAGGGAGGGGTCCTGTGCGCCCCATGCACTGCGCCGGTGGGTCCCGACGAACATGGCTTCTCATGCCAGCAGAGTTTATTCTCCTTCCCATAGATGGGTATGATGGCATACCAGTGCAACTGGGCTTATGTCAGTGTGTATGGGAGGCTGAAACCCTTTGCAGAGCTGCGGCGATTCCATCCTCCTCATCAAGCAGCTCTCCGAGGGATCGCTCCAGGTCCCCTGGGCTTCAAACGTGTCCATGCGTGGGCTCCTTTGGCTCCAGCGTTCCCCTCTGCTTGGCTGTCGTTTGAGTGGCACCTCATTTTCTGACCCCACTGCATTTTGTCCTTCTTGGTGCAGAACCTCCCAATGGATGTACTTCCCTCCTGAGGACATGCTTGCAGCTTGCATGGCGGCATGTCCTGCGGGATAGCTGGGTGCTCCGTTCGAGCCGGATGCTCTGACGGATGCAAAACGTTGCTTGAGCCT